ATTATCTGTTTGTTTTGTTTTTCTTTACTTGGAATCTTGTCCAACAGCATTTCGTTTTCCGCTAGTTGATCGAAGCGAAGTAGTTTTTGTTCGTTGCCATTGTTGAGAATTTTTTAGCGGTGTTGTACAAACCGGACATTTTTCCATTAATGTTGTTGACATCTTCCACAAATGAAGAAAAGAAAAAATAACATACGAATTTTCGAACAAATATTATTATCGTCACCTTTTTTTTCAAATATTTGAATATGTCAAAATAAATCAAAAGTTAAGCAGTAACTTCATTATGAAAATGTTTTGTATTTTGTTCTCCTTGGTAATTCCTCATTACAATATAAAAGAATAAAAAATGAAAAATAAAAGATATTTGTCGCTATATGTCGATAGTCATATTTATTTGCTTCTCGTTTTAACCGATAGGAAGAAAAACGTCATAAAAGTCATCGCTTTTTGAAAATATCACATCATTTCTATATTTATTACATCGACAGAGCAAAACATGACGCAGTCTACTGAATCATATGGTAAATAATTAATCAATATTATACAAATCGAAATTTAATTAAGTTTTTGCTTTTTTATTTTTAGAATATCTATTTAAATTTCTAATTATCGGTAGTGCGTCTACTGGAAAATCTTGTATATTACATCAATTTCTCGAAAATAAATGTAAAACGTTTTTTTTTGTCTATATGAAATTAATTGATTATTTAATTATAGTTAGAAATGAGAGTGCGCATACAATTGGTGCTGAATTTGGTTCAAAATTATTAGCTGTTGGTAAAAGAAATATCAAACTTCAAATTTGGGATGTATGTTTATATTATTATAATATTCATTAAGATATGTTTTTACTAAAAATAACTATTGTTTCAGACTGCTGGACAAGAAAGATTTCGATCAGTAACACGTAGTTATTATCGAGGTGCATCAGGGGCTTTACTTGTTTATGATATTTCAAAGTAAATTAAAAAAAACTTCCGTCTTTTCTTTTCCTTTTGTCTACTTCAAAATATATTTTTACAGTCGAGACAGTTATACTGCAATAACAAATTGGTTAACAGATGTGCGCACATTAGCTAGTCCAAATATTGTCATAATATTATGTGGCAACAAAAAAGATTTAGAAGAACAGCGTCAAGTGACATTTCTGGAAGGTAGTCGATTTGCACAAGAACATGGTAGAATATATTTTTGTTTAATTCAAAAACAAATTTTTCTATGAAAATAATTTTTTCTAGATCTAATGTTTCTTGAAACATCTGCATTAACGAATGAAAATGTAACTGAAAGTTTTCAACAATGTGCGAGGATTATTCTGACTAAAATAGATTCAGGTAATTCATAATTTTTATTTAAGTAAATTTTAATTAAATTGTTTTCTTATCTAGGCAATATTGATCCATTTCGTATGTATTCAGGTATTCAATGTAATCATACGATTGCTGCTCATCAAAATGAAAATTTGGCTAATAATATTAGACGAAAATCCGCAATAAATTGTGCTCTATGTCAAACATAAACTGATTGACATCTATAAGATGTTCATTCTATTTACTGTCTTTAGTATATCTATATATATCTATATATGTATAAGAGGACGCATTCCTTAATATTAAATAATTCATAACGATTTCATGTATTGTTGTGTCGCTCTTTTTTCACTGTGATTGCTGCTATTTTTTTTCGGCTCATGCAAGCTTATAAAACAGATGCTTATAAATAATCATGATATATTTTATCATTGGTGATTTTCATATTTTGTTGTTGTCTCAAAGGTTCTGAAGGTACGCAAAGTATAAAATAATAAAGGTAAAAACATGTTTTTGTTTATATGTAAATAACACATCGAACGATCAAATGACTCGGATGTTATTTTTAGTATAATAGATGATAGATATTATCATCGTAAATTTCACTCTCGCCCAAAATCAGAGGTGTACAATCTGTCGTTAAAATTAAAAAGTTTCTCCTATTACTAGTGGAGAAATCATCGAAAAAAATTAAAAATTTCCCCAACCAGTCGGTCGCGTACGCGAGTAGATTCTGAATCACTGATAAAAACATTCCATATCGTAATTTCTACGTAGATATGTAACGTTAACCTAATTTGTATGCTTTGTTCGACATTCCTCGTCTACATTCCAATAGATAAACTTTGTATAGATGTTTAGTAGAAAGTTATTCATATGTAATATGTCTAACGCAACATCAATAGATAATTATGAAATAAAGTTTATTTTATCGAGATACAACAAGAAAATTTTAATTTTTTAATGGATATAGATATATGTTTTAAATTATAAATATACATATCAAGTTGAATAGAGCTCTGTTTCTAGATTTACTTTAACTTTTATTAAACGTGAAAGGTGTAATATTCATCCATTTTTCAAATGTAAACGGCTCAGTAACTGTCTAAATTAACACTCGTCTGACTTGAAAGTAATCTCAATTTGAAGATCAACTGATTTGATATCATGACTCATTATCCAAAATACAAGTGTTGTGTATAACGTCGATTGTAGACAGTTTTATGTTTTATGGGCTTTCGTCGATCAATAAATCTATTTGACGATAAGCGATTCGGCGAAAATAGACCAAATCTTTGTATTATACCGTATATATGTTATTTTTGTATTATGATAATAAACTAACGACATCTATTTGATGAGAATAAAAAGTTTAGATGATTTTACATATTACTTATATTTTTAGTTTGAAGGCAGAAAAAGAATTAATAAAATTTTGATTAAATTCAGTTGGTTTCTAAGCAAACTGTTACCTTGGTAATAGAGTAATAATGGCTGTCTGTTAAATTGTAGGTTTGTTCTTTCATAGATACTCTCTAATTGATAACTGCACAAGTCAAAGGAAAAACAATGGTATGTTTTAAGAAACCAATACAAGAAAAACAAGTACTTCTTTATTATATATTCCACTTTTATATTTCTAGGCTGTCGATGAACGTTTCTGTTTTATGGGCGAATGGTATGATCCACAAGCATCAATGACTCGCACTTATCAAGTGCTCTTTTATCCAGCGGATAGTAGTATTGAAATGGTATATAGAATTTCTTTTAAGAAAATTAATCTTATTTATATTATTTTCATAGTATGATGTTAAAACTCGTCGAGCATTTCTTAAACGTACGAAATGTGAAACAATAAAATTCAATGATTTCTTTATTGGAAATACAATAAATATATTTTCTCGATCAATAAAAATAGCTGATTTTGGTGATGCATTTACTGCACGAAGTATTGGTAAAAATCAAGAAAGGTAAATTATCCAAAACAAAAACAATCATTTTTATTTATTATGAATATATATTTAGAACATTGGCAATTATAAAACCAGATGCAATTCGAAGTTTAGGTGATATAATTAGTGCAGTTTATGAAAATGGTTTTACAATTGCTCGTATGCGAATGGTTAAATTATCACAAAATGAAGTTATGTATTTTTATTCTGAACATAAAACAAAAGAATTCTTTCCGTATGTAATCTTAATATGTATATTTTCGAATAAATAATTCAATGAAATTTGTTTTTAGACGTTTATGTGAATTTATGACAAGTGGTCCAGTTGTTGCTATGGAACTTGTAGGATCGGATGCAGTTAATCGTTGGAGAAGTATGATTGGTCCAACTGATACTCAAAGAGCTAGAGAACAAGGTGCACATTTACTTCGTGCACGATTTGGCACAGGTATAAATTTTGTTAATATAAATTAAATTATTTTATTGAATTGATTATTTAGATGGAACAAAAAATGCTTTACATGGATCTGATTCTGCAGAAAGTGTTCAACGAGAACTTTCATTCTTTTTTGGTTCAAAATATGGTGTTAATACAGCTTGTTATAACGATACAACATGTTGTGTTATTAAACCACATGCAGTTGCTGAAGGTAAGTAAGATGAAAATTAAAGACCATTGAATTTATGTGTAAATTTATCTTTAGGAAGAGCTGGACATATTATTAATGCTATTCTTATTGCTGGATTTCAAGTTTCTGCTATTGGCACTGTAAGTTTATTACATATATATCAAGTTATTATTTTCATATAATCCTTGTTTTTTTTGTCTTTTTAGTATAGTTTAGACAAAGTCAATGCTGAAGAATTTTTAGAAGTTTACAAAGGTGTTGTTCATGAATATCCTGTAAATAATTCATTTATTTTTATACTATTCTTGAATATCTCTGTTTTGTATTTAAGAAAATGGTTGAAGAATTAATGTCAGGTGCATGTATTGTACTCGAAGTTCGTGCTCAAAATGCTCAAGCAGTTTTTCGAGATTTCTGTGGTCCCGCTGATCCAGTATGTAGATAATATATGATATATATTTGAAATAGTTTCTTGTTCTTTTTCTAAAGGAAATTGCTCGTCATATTCGTCCACGAACATTAAGAGCTTTATATGGAAAAGATAAAGTGAAAAATGCTGTTCATTGTACAGATTTAGCTGAAGATGCATCATTAGAAGTAAGAAATATATAATGATTTATAGTTGTATTATTCTTATTTTAAATTTATTTTACTTTTAGGTCGAATATTTCTTCCGAATCTTAGATCATTAATGAATGAAAACAAACAATTTTTAAACGTTGGTTTTCTTTTCTTTTTTTCTAATTATTTACGAATAATAAAAAAATGATTCTATCACATATTTTGATTAAAAACTGTAGAAGGAAAATACGATAGCTTTGTTTAGTTGAATATGTAATTAATCGTATGAGACTAAAAAATTAAAAGGAAATTCATGTTTTCTTTAATCAAAAAAGCAATATATATATATAACTTACTAGGTGGTAATGGTCTTCGTCGACCACGAGGAACTTGATGTTGATAAACAGGATCCACAGGTACTGGAATCGATTGAGATCCTGATGGGTAAGAATATTGTTCAGAATCTGATACTTGTGATCGTCGTTGCTTCTGTCGATGTTGTTGATGACTTGAATGATTATGTGATGTTGATGGAGGCTGTGATATTTTTGGTTGAAAATTATCATCGTCGTTCGAGTGTTGTCGTCGTTGACGACGTCTTTGTTGTCGATCAGTCAGTTTTGATGGAGGCTGTGATCTTTTCGATTGGAAATCGTTATCGTCGTTTGAGTCTTGTCGCTGATGACGATGTCTTTGTTGTCGTTCATTCACTTGTGATGATGAAGGCTGTGATCTTTTTGATTGGAAATCGTTATCGTCATCTGAATCTTGTCGTTGGTGACGATGTCTTTGTTGTCGATCATTCAGTTTTGATGATGGAGGCTGTGATCTTTTTGATTGAAAATCGTTATCGTCATCTGAGTCTTGTCGTTGGTGACGATGTCTTTGTTGTCGAGCAGTCGGCGGCGATGATCTTCTTGACGATGATGCTTGTCTTATTCGATCATATTTATGTTGTCTATCGCTTTGTTCTGATGATGCTGAGGAAGTTCTTGATGATACTGTTGGTTGCCAAACAATCGGTTTCGGCTTTGGTACTGGTTTTTGAACGATTTGTTCACTAGTAGTGTGTCGAATTTGCATAGGTATGTCAGATGCTAAAAAAACATAAATATTTTTGTTAAAATATCTTTGAAATAATAAATAGTTTTTTTTAGTTTAGTTGAAATACATATAGAAAACTTTAACATACCTCCCGGTCGAATAGTATACCCAAAACTATCATTGCCTAGAATTAATGAAATGACATTTTTTGATGTATATATATATAAATGTCTCAGTATGATTACAGATATCTCGCAGGAAAGTAAAATAATATTTATTATTGATATTTTACTTACGAAGTGTTTGTCTGGATTTCTTTTTCCATATAATAAGAACAATTACTCCGACTAGTAAAAGAACGCCAAGAACCGATCCAATGACAATCAATGCAATTTTCCATCCAGCAAGTCCTTCTATATATATATATATTTTAAAGAGTAAAAACGTTTTAGGAATAAATAACGTTAAATCATACTGTCATACCTGGAACTTTGTCAGGAATAGTTGTAGTTGCTAAAATTGAGAAAAATAAATTATTATATTGAATTATAATCGATAATTAGCAGAAAAGTTTCTTTCTTGTACATAATAGAAAGAACATGAATCAGAGCTATTGTTTATTCGATATAAGAAAATTATTTACGGCTGAAATCATTATACTTATCCGTAATATAGAAGTATCTAGATATTCTGAGGGAGCAGTGATTAATGGAATAGTCACTGTACCGGTATATGTAGAGGATGCATTCTCAGTGTAATTTGTCATATCTCCTGGAGTGGTATCATCACCTGTAAATGCATCAGAAGTTTCGAATTGTGAAGTCGATGGATTCATAGTAGTATTTTCCAC